CATATGTCACGTACAACTAAAAACCTCGGCGAGCATAGATACCCTGTCAGTGTCCCTTTAAGTCCAGGATTGTCGATGGCGAATAGAGGTTTTCCTTTTGTGTGGGGTTGGCTACGCGGAAATTTATAAAGTGAATTTGTTCTAAGAAATAAATATTTGTTCACATAGGTCCGTGAAGTGGTGCGTAGCGCTAGAATTCAGCCAAACTTTCCTAGGTATTTCTCCTCCTGCGCCCTTTAATTTTATTTGGCCAATTTTACGGAAGACAAATGCCAGATTTAATTTGACGGGCCTGTCACTCATATCATATCCTGAGTAAGCAAATGTTCAAATAAAAAAATGTATTTCCTAGAGCAAATATCGCGAAATGCTGCTTATGAGTACTTTAGCAGGATTGATAATTTAAGAAATTTCCTACTCAGCCCGTCAAAACATGCTCGGGTACTAAATTAGAAAAAAAGAAGCCGAGACGATATTATATGTTTATAGCAATTATCTGCGACATTACACGATACGTTTTTATTCTGCGAAGTTCACTAAAGGTTGGGTGCCCAAGAAAACCAAACAGTGAGTTGTAAACTCGCGAGTTCATCTGTTCTGGCCCATTCAGAACCTTGCAAACCAAGCTGTCGATATGCTTTCCCCCGTTACATTCACATGTTACTCTCTTCATTAGTTTGTTTTCCTGGAAACTGGTGTCATCGTGTACGGCCATACACGATGGTATTCTTCCCTGTACATCAGTCAGGCGTTTCGCAACCAACCATAATCGGATACATCGAAGGAGTTGGTAAAAAAGCCTACAATATAAACTAAAATACACCTCGTAGTCATCAAAGTGGCTCAGTACTACTGTTTCATTGGTTGTGTGCTACCAGAAAAATAATCGTATCCCAAAATTAAGCAAAAACAACGCAAAACAGCAACATAGCCGCGTTCACGTTGAAACCGAAACCAACCAAATTGAAGTAACCTAATGGCGCTGAGTGCATCAGCGCCCTCTGTCCGCCGGTGAGGCAACTACTAAAAATGAAAAGGTCTATACTGCCAAAGCCTGCCAGATCGCCACGAGACGCGGCCGCCGAAAGTGAAAAGGTAGAGCGGTAGACAACGGATGAGAGGAGAGCCAGGTGACGAACGCCCCGCTGCGGCGAGACGCCGAAACACACTTCTCCCGGGCAATAGAGTGTCCGCTCGTGCTCCTCGCGTTCCTCCCGCTACCGCTTATTTTCTCATCAGGTTTGAAAACCATGTTTCGGGTTTTCGCCGCTGCAAAAGCTGTGCGTTGGCGACCAGGTTCACCGAGAAATGCTCTGTGCTACCAGATCCTCGCGCTCCAAATCCGCGACCGGGCACTCTACGGCTTCGTCGTCGAACTGCCAGTCTTTGTGAGTATAGAGGAGGCTATGGAAAGGGTCAAATGTCGAATCGGTGTAGCACACACACACGCTGAATAAGACATTTCCAGTGACAAGAAGGACCGAAACTTCTTAGTCACGCGATCTGCAACCCATGGCTCCGTCAACATGTCAACACAACACCGACAACACCACCAGAAACTGAACAGAACAAAACCGCGAAACGGCTATCGCCACATTGAATGGCTTCCACTGCGACGGCTGCATTGGCGGGGGATGTCGAAAAATACAGCCACTATTTTGGCGATTTACGGAACTGACGTCAGGTGTAAAAATAACATTGGTGATATTTTGACGGTGGACGTCAAAATAGTCATTACATTAACATCATATCATCATCGGCTCCCGGAAAATTGTCAAATCGTGGCACTTTTAGCACTTTTACACTCGGTTCTCCGGTGAAGTTTTTATATTACAAATCGGAGATATATTTTAGCCACCCCAAATATGCATTTTATCTTTCCGCACTCGGTATATACACGTTTGCAAGTTTGGCGTCAGGGGGCCCCCATCTTGCTCATTTGGGTTTCGCTTGGGCACGTCGTAATCCGATTACGACGCCTTGCCAGAGACTGCCAGAGACTGAAGGAAACTTGACATGGGGACGCTATCACCCACTTGCAAACTTCCGTGTAAGTTGCCCTTGGCATCCGTCCAGCTTTAGTGTACATGAGAGCTCCTTCTTGCATCCACGCTTGCCAATGCTTCCGGACATTGCTCTTTAATGCGCGAGTCACGGAAATGTCTGGAGGCTAGAGGCGCTGAGTCATGCCACCTGGAATTAGGGCAAGTGCGATCGCCATCTTTTTCAACCGCCCCTTGCGCTTCCGCTGCACCTCATGAGTCCACCTTGTGCATCAGATGTTCTCTCATCCACCCTATTTCGCTGCATAACACGTGACGACGCCTAGGAAAATCATCTTTAGAAATTGCTTTGCGCTTGAAGATGACTAGAGGTGGCAGCTTATCGCCTGTCATGCTGCATGCAAGAAGAGTAAAGCACGTTCGCTAGTAGCCAGTTGTTTTGGCGCTGATCGTTTTTGTTCCCACTTTTTTAATGGTGTGATTTGGCGGCGTATCAAACGACATTGGCACTTCATCCATGTTGCGCACCTATTAAAAAGGTTACGGCAAGCGCGTCGATTCCCCCAAGATAGCCATCACTGCATACAGGGTTTTTGAAATATCATGAATGTATATATGCTTGCGATTTATAAAAATATTTTACCTTACTTTCTGGTATCCCATTTTCCTCTATGAACCGTTGTACGAACTCATGAAAAGCCTTCTTTTTCTCTATCCAATTTTCTGGCTCACTTTGACCAACCGTTGTGCGCTGCCGAACACTCAGACGACTTCTCTTCATAAACTTGGCACACGAAGACACACAACTTTAAAAGTCCTGACGCTCACGTCGACACTGGCAATCCTGCTTCACGCTGTTGTCGGACCCAAGCTTTAAAGGGATACTTCAACGAAATCTGAAATATTCCCGTCGTGTTCAAAAATAGGTTGTATATGATCCACAATATTCGTAAGTGACAATCGCACGTTTGTATTTTGAGCCTGGTGGCTGTATTTTTCGTTATAAACGGCCCACTCTGGCAAGCGCTCGGAGAAGGCCCAGCGGAGACCACGTGACATTCAACGCAATCGTGACGCAGGTCGTCTCAGGACGAGCAAAGCTACGGCGAGGCTGACGTCGAGAGGATGGCCTAGTCGTCCCAGTCACCGAAGCGGCTGCTTTTGTACGAATTTTGAGTGACGGGTTAATCTTCTGTAATCTTGTTGGGGGACAATAGCGACTCCTGCGACACACAAAAGGCATTCTCGGGAAGAGGGGAGTTCCTCCTGCCCCCCTTCTCTCGTCGTGGCCGGAGACGAGACAACCTCCGTCACTAGCTGTCAAGGTTCCTACACTCTAAAAAAAATCCGTTCTTGAAAGGTTCTTCGCCGCCCCAAGAACTCTTTTTCCTCGTGAAGAACTGTTTTCGCTCAAACAGTGTCGCCCCCTGGCGCAGCAGAAAGGCGACCGGGCGATGAAGAACGTTTGCCTGGAAAAAAGTTCTTCATAACGTTTTTTTTTGTTTTTTTTTTCTTTCTTTTTTGTTTTCGAAGAAGCGGTTGCGCGCGAAGGAGTGCCGGTGGTGCCGCTGCGCCGCGCCGTTTGCCTGCGTGCGATTCTGTAAATTCGAAAGTAACGGCGGCCAACAATTCGGGGTTCGCTGTTTACTGTTTCGACCTGGTTCTGTCGGCGGCATTCAATGGATGGGTTCACGGTGCGAGAACATACAGATGTGTGTAGATGGAAGCTCCAGGACGTGTCAGATTGGTTGACAAAGCAAAACCTTCTGGACTTAGCCCAGAGATTCGAAGGTAAGCAGAATGCTCCGTCCTCTTTGTTTGTGTTAGTTGGCGGCGTCGGTTTCGTCTCGCGTTTTCAGTTTCCAAGTTGAGGGTAACGCCGGTAACGGTGGCTGATCGGGGTCTCGATGGTGCTATCCTTCCATACTTCCATGTGCACGCGAATATTTTTTTTTATGAAACTTGTAGTGCAGTGTGGATATTTGGACATGTTCTGTGAGCGACAAACTGCTTCCGGGTCTTTCGGCGATTGGTGAGATTTGTCGTCGTTTGTGCGATTTCAGCATGAGCGGATACGAGTGTTCAAAGTTTTCGCAGTGCTACCACATAGGGAGTCATCTGACAAATCATGTCCAGATAGCTCATGGTGACCCGGACTTGAATTCTGTTTGCAAGTTGGGTGAGTACTCTCCGTCTGGACGATATTTTATTGCATTTGAGAGCTTCAGGAAGCACATGAGACGTAAACATGTCGAGGGAGGATCTGGGGAACCAGAAAATGGAAGCAGTGCGGGTGTGATGCATGCCACTGCTTTATGGTTGTCCCCCCCCCCCCCCCCCCCCCCATCTTCACTCTCTTTATACTATATTTGTGTACACCATGGGAATAAAAGGGTAGAAAAATGTGGTATAACTTCTGTCATTAACATATATAACATATATGTATGATATAAACTGTATGTGCAATATTTTATCTCCTTTTATGCAGAAGAGGTTGATGGGAAGACGTTACTAAACTTGTCAGTGTGGATGATTGAGCAGTTGCTCCCTGCTATGAAACTGCGAGTCAAACTGCTAAAACTGATTGAACAGCTAAAAGGAGACATAAAAGAAAGGTGGCGCACATTACTCAATTCGAAATTTGCGTTCCATTTGTGAAATTCGAGATGCACTAATTACATTGTTATTTTTCAGCTTGCCTGGACCCTCCAATGTGCCTCGTGCTAGTAACACAGCAGCCTCAGTTTGGTCTACAGAGGTTGTAAGGATGTATGGCCACAGATATATACTCTCCCATAATTTCCCTCGCTACTGTTACAGAGGCTGTGTGAAAAGAGTGAACTGTTCCTTCAACCACAGCAAAATGAAGCACGAACAAAGTTGGTCGCTGCGTTGGCAGACGACATTCTGAGCAAAACTCCGAAAGCAGCAGCATTTGAAGTCCTCACTTATATATCTTAAAATAGAGGCTAACATTTGTTGTTTTTTTCTTTCCAGAACGCCAAGTCGGTCTTAGCTAGATGATGTCATGCGTGCCCTCCAAGCGGCATACCCCTTCCTGGCCGACTCCACTGGACGCTGCGTAAGATTTACAAGAACTTGTTTTCATTCTGACAATTGAAAGGCTTGTATCGAAGTTCATTATCTGCATTGTAACAGGCTTGCTACTCGTCAGTCTCACTGTAGGATTCACTGCGGCACAGCCTTATCAACAAAATGAAAAAAGAAAGGTTGCTTCTTATGCATCTGCCAGAAGTTCAGCAAAACAAGGAAAACTATGGCAAAGGTGGTGGACGAAAGCGAAAGGAAAAACGCCAACGCAGTGACTGTATTCAAAAATAAAAAAGGACCATGGTAAGTTTGTTATAATCTGGTTCAGACACAGTTAAAGGAAATAAAACTAACCTGGAAGCGGGAACTGTTCTTAAATAGTTATTCAGCTAAATGTAGTTATGTAATTGCTGCACCATATGCTTCAAAGTGTTTAGCCTGTTACCTTTTGCCAAAATGAGAGGAATCTTTATACAGTTTTCATTTGCCCGTCCAGAGGAATGGTTAGAAGCTTGGGAATGACCTTATCAAATTCGGCTTGATTGTTTTTAAAAGACATATTTATTGTTCGCATGCAGATTCTTGTTATGAAGTCTTAAATATACGACATTGATATTCACAATCAAATGACGAAATCTTTGTTTTATTATAACCTTTAGAACTGTAACAAAACATCACTTAGAGTACTCAAAATGTTTCTATTTTTACATTATTTTATTTTAGTGGTACGTACTGTTTGCTTTACTTTTGATTCCGTACCTAAAACCACCATTCACAGCAGTTCATACTATCCATCATCACTCAGACTGTTGTTGCCATGTCTGGTGCTTCTATGTGCAACTAAGCAGATAGTGCTTTGTTCGAGAGAATCAAACTTGTCAAGCAATTGATGTTAACAAAAGGTTGCACAGGAGTGGGAGAGCAAAGTAGATAGTGTTTTAGTTGAGCATGCCAACACATTAACCGTATGATAATATTCACAGTGGTAAGAATAAAGACGAAGTTTTTGCTTACATGCCAATACATCTTTTAGCTGCTCCTAAACGTACTTTTGGCTACTCCTAAATGGACTTCTGACTACTGCAACAGGTGCTCCAAAGTGACTTGAACGAATCACATTGCTGTAAATGTAATCTGTAAAAGTCACAGTTGCATGGCTTGTCAGATATATCAAATACTCTCTGGTTGTCTCTCGGTTAAATCTCTTTTGTTGCATTGAACTGCCTTATTATAGCTAAAATATAGAGTGCATATAACTTGATCTATTTGGACCCGTGCACCCACTGTTTAAATTACAATTTTTTACATAACATAAAATAAGGCTTGCTGGAGTTCGTCTTGTACACAACTTTGTTCTTCAAATCCCATATTCTGTGCATGGCACTGACTTTTTTTTCAGGTTCCACATCATGACGTAGAAGGTACCGACAACTGTGCAGACCACGTAGAGATTATGGCTGCTGAATGCTCCAAGGCTGCAACAGATGTGAAGCTCTTACTTCAAATAATGGCACAGACGTAACAGGCAAGGAGGGTAGACATCGCTGGCAAGACCACCACTGATGTTATTTAGCTGTACCCGGCCCTCTGCATTCCCGAAGTGGTAATTTTAACACTTTTTCCACTAAACTTTCAAAGCAATAGACAGCCTGAATGGTGGATCAGTTTTGTCTGGTTTTGAGTTACTTCAAACCTAAAAAGGGTATACTAAGAGAGTTAGGCACTGTCTAAATTCAACTAATATCTTGGTTTGCAGCTGCCTACTTGCAGTGCCGTTGTGCTCTTTGTCTGGGTTTAACACCTGTTTGTGCCATGCGCCCTCGCAGTGTGTGGTTGGAGAGGGGCATCACGAGAAGGAAGGGGCCAGAAGTCTTGTTTTGTCGCAATTTCCTTTTTCCTGCTTCCACACCTGAGTGGTTGCCTCGTCCATCTCGTCTCCAAGATAGCATTTTTATCCATAAAGTATACCTCAACAAGAAAGGGTTTTGAAGTTTTTCCAAGTCAGTTTTTGTTTTCTTTTGTTAGTGGTCAAATAATAGATCTGAGCTCGCTAACGTGCCATATATGAAATCAGACATCTAGAACGTTGTCTCCATTTTCTCAAGGCCAAAATTTCAGTGTCTCATTTCAGTGTTCCACTAGGCCGTGTTATATTTGATCTATATTTTAGGCAGAGAAGCATTCTACTCATGTGCTAAGTTTCAATCTAGTCATGTTCAATAAACGTCAGTATGTTTTTTTTTTGTGAACCGCGGTATCTTGTCTTCATTTCACCATTGACAGGTTGGACATTGCAGAGCATCTCTTTCGTTCTCCTACCTTTATTCCCTATACCTCATACTTCGTCTTGACAAGAGTATCAACGATGAATGTGTACTTGAATACCCATCCAAGCCAGTGGTTCTGCAGTAGATGTAGGGCCCCAGAAAAGGAGCCTCGTCGTTCAAAGCCTGTTTTGCACGTCTAGCTGTTGACGTTTGCAAAACGTCTAGGTGATGTATATTGCCTCTTTGAACAGTTCGAGACAGTAAAAAAAAAGCGGTTTACAAAAGAGCTACTGTACACCTAAAATTGCTGCCCAAGTCGCTTTTTGCGAATAAGTTATTCAAGTTAACTCGAAAGTGGTCTTTGCAACAAAACTTTCATTGAAAAGGTTCATAATAGAAAGCTCTCTCGGTGAAAAGTAACTTAAAAGTTAGGGGTGAGCAAGTAGTGGTTAAAATAAAATCCTTGGTAGTTCTTTTTTTTAGTTCTCTCTCGGATGGAACGGTTTTTCATCAAATACCTTTGCAAGCTTCTTATAAGCTCTTCCAATTGACCAGTAAATCATGAAAAACCTTTATTGAGTTTTTTTAGGGTCTAAGGAAATAACAGTTCTAAATAACCTCTCAAGGGAACTTTACTGTTGGGGTGTGCGAATACCCCTCGGTTCAAATAGCGCAGCGATATTTCTAGATTCAAGAAGTCCACGGTACACAATGACTTTCATTGCAGTATTGAACCTAGAAATATCGCTCTTCTTTTCGAACCGAGGAGGTATTCGCACACCCAACATAAAAGCTCCCTTGAAAGGTAATTTAGAACTTATTTCCTTAGACCCTAAAATAACTCAATAAAGATTCTTCATAACTGGTTAATTAAAAAAGAGCTTATAAGAAAATTCCAAAGGCACTTGATGAAAAATCACTTTATCCGAGAGAGAACTAAAAAGAACTGTTTCAGCGACAGAACAACTGGAAATAACTTTTTAAACGTTCTGCACGAAGAACTGTTCCATTGAAAAGAGAACTTAAAAGAACTGTTAAACGGTTCTTCACCAAGAACTGTTTTAGCGAGAGAAGGGCTGAAAAGAACTTTTTACAAGTTCCTCGCGAAGAACTGTTTCATTGAAAAGAGAACTTAAAAGAACTCCTTAAAGGTTCTTCATGAAGAACTTTTTTATAAGGTGCTTAAAAGAACCTTTTAGGGTGCAAAATATGGACAAGCCGAAGAACTCCTAAAAGTTCTTTTTCGAACTGATTTTTTTTAGTGTGTAGACGGGCATTACAAACGAGGCGATAACGACATCCACCAGGTGCTCTTTTCTAATCGTTTAATTCGTTTTAAAATTCCTTTTCGTGTCTTTTTTAAGAAGATATTGGTGTGTTCGATGTGATACTGCTCCTTTGAACACATATAGACTATAACATAACCACCGAAATTTCGTTGTAGTATCCCTTTAAGTTTTTCCTCGGGCTCCGGCCAAGCTGCTGCCTTGTGTCGTCGCACTTTCTTGCGTACAGGCATTCCTTTCAGAAGTCCTTGCGAAGCGGCCCACATCCTTACGCTTCTCTCGTCGATGCCAAGTTCTTTTGCAGCTGCCCGGTTCGATTTCAGCTCGTTGGCGCGCTCAACGGCACGAAGTTTAAAGGGCGCGGCGAAACCTCTTCTTCGCCTAGGAGTCATCACCACGGTTGCTTCAGGTAGACTGCACAAACACCCGTTTTTCTTTAGGATCTTGTTTTGCAAACAAAGGAAGGGGCTGTTTGTGCCTCTTTTTTGCCCCATCACAAAGCTTCTGTTCAAGAACAGGCGCCATTACGTGGGGGGCAATGTGTGCGTCACCGGTCGCCTGTGAGGGCAGTGAGGGTGGGGGAAAAACAGTGCTATACTCTGTTTCACCTTATGATGTACCGCAGGAAAGGCTACAAGCGCGAGCTCCTTGCTTTGGGGCACATCTCGGCGGCACAAGCTCTCGTGACTTAAGAGCGGCTACCAACGCTATGAGCTCGCGCTTCTAGCCTTCGCTGCGGTACAACATCACGTGAAACGAAGTATAGTATGACCTCGTTTCATTGTTCCGTTGAAACAGACGAACGGACGAAGAAGAGGACAAACAAAACGACTAAAAAGTATACTCTTAATCCCATTTATTTTTGCGGCCTCTATTTTTCACGAATCGGTCACAGACGACATAATCGCGGCCACAAAATTTCTCGAAATCCAATGCTTTCAATTCGCGAAATTCGTGAAAAATGAGGCCTCGCGAACATTAAGGGTTTCACAGTATGTGTAACATGAACCAATCAAATATGTGCTACATATATGATGGTTGTATGAATGTACGTGTAACATCAAACAGCTGGTCTGTTTACTTACTCTTTCTTTGGTCACCTTATGCATGATCCGCATGGCATAAAACTCAGCATTTAGGAAAAACACTTAGTGTATAATCCGCACGGCGTCCAATATAAACCTTGAGAAGAAAAGTGAAAAAAAAAGAGTTATCTGTGGTCAGCACAGTACAAAGTGTTAGCTTTTAAATATATATCGTCCGCGAACCATACACCGGAAAATACGGTACGTTTTCTTAATACCCGGGCTTTATTTACTCTTCCCGGCACGCTATTTGGTATCTCTAAACTAAGTAAAGCAATTGAGAAAACGTCAAATCACTGTCATGTCAAAACCACCGTACATACCTTCCCACGATTTTCAGTACTTGACGTCACATGCGGGTAAACTTCAACGATGGTAAACTTGCAGATCGACCAGGCAGCCTTGGAGGCAGAGTATATATCGGGCATTTATTTTCTGCTGTTGAGGAAGTGCAAGAGCGAACCTCCACACCATTAATTTCGCACCATCAAACTTTCGCAATCTGTTTGGAACAAGTTCTACCGGATCAATGTGGGGATGCAGGCGAGTTGGTTCATGATTACAACTGGTAGCAGCGCGCAAAAATTCTTCCCTTTGTCCTTGCGTTTTTTGCGCGCTGCTACCAGCTGCAAGTTCTACCGCCCGAAGAGTAAACCTGTACCCACAACTGCTGCCACGTTTTCAGTGTTGCGTGTAGAGAATTTCAGTTCGGAAAAGCAGTGAGGGCCAATCTTAAAACTTCTTCCTAGTATAGCAACTCCGAAAGTGTGTATCTTTGACTAATGTACCTATATGTATAATATATATAATAATGTAAACAACTTATTTCAATTAAACAAAACTCGAAAGAATCAGGCAACAGTTGTGTAATTTTAAGATCTAATGAAAAAACGCTCTCCTTTTGGAGTCTAATTAAGCAAGATAAGATTAAGTGGTTCTGTCATTCCATGTTACAATGCTTGAGGGGAGCCTCTTGGTTAGGTTAGACGAATGAAAGGAAAGTGGCAAAGAGAACGATGGAAGGGCATCGTTCCACCCTCCCATCTTTGCCGTTTCGATACTTTCCTTTTGATCATTGACCAGCATCGAAGTCGAACATTGTGCGCCAAAGAACAGGGATGTATTCAGCAACTCATTCAATAAATACACTTAAAAATAAATTTATAGTTAAGGTCGCTACTTTTGCAGTTTCACATTCAGGCGTGAGTCAATTTGATTTTTAGGCCCTATCCCTAAAGCGACAGACACCTACGTTTTTTTCGTAGGCGTTCGATGACGTTAGGTTAGAAAGTTGTTTTGTCTTGCGTATCAGACAAACAGTGTGCATATGTCGCACACTTTATCTGGCGAAATTTGATGAATGAGCATAACAACAGCACTGAAATAAAACACCTGTTCAGTTGATCCGCCTAAAGTCTCTTGACAGTTCTTTTTACAAGTCACGACAACCAATACAAACGACAAAGCACACTCCGCTGTTAACAAAATAGGCTGATTCAGATTAATCGTGGTGCCACGATCAACAATGAAATTAATAACCGTCCGATGTCACAAGCGCTAATTATTCGCTACGAAAAAAAAAAAAGTACAGAAATATATGATTTTTGAGAAGTGTGAGCAGAATACACGCCGTTCTGACGCTCATCACACTGTCAAAAAATGCCGAGTCACCGGGCTGCATGCGGGCTGTCTGATATTCCGCATAGTCAGCACTACTATACGCATGCTGAGACAAAAATGTCAGCGCGCAAAAGAAGTGGAAGCTCCTCCCAGCTCTTTCCAGCTTAGCGAAGCGAACGCTGGAAAAAAGGCGACGCGACCTCCTCTCCAGCATTCGCTCTGCTAAAGGGGAAAGAGGGGGGAGAAGCTTCCACGTGGTTTTTGACCTGAGGCTGTCACCGGCCATGCGGAGAGCAAGTCGTCTGCTTCTTGCGTATGAGTTGTGGTGACGTCAGAAAGACTTCGAGCTCTGATTGGCTCTGATTGAAGTATAGTGGGTAGACCTCAAAGCAAGCTGCCCCGAAGTCTACCCTTCATTCAGAGCCAATCAGAGCTCGGCATCTCTCTGACGTCACCGTAACCCCTGCGAAGGAAGCAGACGAACTTGCCCTCCGCATTTGTCTGTATCAGCGTCGCCGCTAGTACGTCTCGCCGAGTCTCACAACGAGCTCGGAAAGCCAAGACGGACGCATCTGCTTCGTTGAGGCGACCCTTGGCGAGCTTCGGCGTGACTTCGGGTGGACTGTCAATAACGATGACGTCATGCGGAGTCCTTATTTTCTAGGTGGGGTAGAAGTTTCATCTGTCTCGATTGCTTCTATGCGTGCTCCGGGATGATGCGTGACATCATCGAGACAGTCTTTACACGCGATTTCATCATCGTCTACGCGTTTGTTGTCTGTCTTCCGGATTTCCTTCCAGTGGTGACGGAAGAAGGTGCAAAAATTATTTCCGGGGAAAAACCAGTGACGTCTCGGATTCTGGTGGGTGACGTCACTTTCTAAGGTATATTTGAGATAGGATTATCACCGTTTTCGTCCAAATTTTCATCGACGTGATTGAAACTCACCCAGACTTTCTCGGCATCAAACATCCGATGACAGGCTTTTTTTTCCACTTGTTGTTTTTTTAGTAATGGTTTTTAGCTGTTGCAAAAAGAGCTCATGGCTGAACAGTAAGATATTTTCGAGCATCTCTATCTCTGTATCGAGATACATTTGAAAAATGTATTTGTATCTCAGTAGTGAAATACATTTACAATGTATCGCTCGTATCGCGATACTTTGTCAGACTTAGTTATCTCGTTACATTGCTTGCCCTTTTTAAAGATAAATTTAAAAGATAAAAATATCGGTTTGGTGCAAGTTGCTTCGGAATTTAATATTGTCACGAATGACAATTGATGAGGCGACGAAAACTGAAGCAAACTAAACGTTCATAGGGGCGAACTGGTGCCCAAAACAGAATAGAAAAAGGCTAGCGTCGCATGCGTCGATGGCGGAGAAAAAGCAGGATCGAACGCTGGGGCGAGTGCTCCTGGAACAATCGGCATAGAAGGTTCGGCGCGGAGAACATTCTAACCTCGAATAAGCAACGCAGTTCTCGAATATTCCCGAGCGCGACGTTTGCAGAAATAACAAAAGGGTGCTACCGCTGCCAGGAATCGTACCGTGGCCCTTTTCGTGGGAGCCAAGGATGATAACCGTTCGGCCACGAACTTTTTTTTTTTTCTTTCGTCGACCACTGACGCGTTTGTTCGGAGACGCGCATGGCAATGTAAACCCGCCCTATAAAATAATTCATCTCAGTCACCAACATAAAATAAACTGGTTTAAACAAGGTTATTTGCAAGAATAACCAAAATCAGCTCCTCTCATGATCACAAAGCCCTCGCTCTTTCCAATTTAGCAGAGTGAACGCTGTAAAAGCGTTGAGCGGAGAAAAAGTACAGCCCTGTTTTCCAATCTCCCCACACAATGGGTGACTCAGTAGCAAATAAGCCGACAGTTTGAAATGCGCCCTAACGGCAAAACAGGGTTCATTTCGGGCAGACGCCTTTTGTCAAGCGGTACACAGTTTTTACCTTTCGGTAATTATGTGGTTCAACGGGGGTGACATGTTTTTTAGCGGCATTAATGATAAATAAAGCGTTCTAGGTAAGGTGTAGTGTATAAAATGGGAAAAAAGAGGAGCACAAGCATAAATTATTGTTCTCATTCGGGACGAACTGCACCCTCCCCGCGTAGCAAACAAATATATCTCTTTAAGTATCTGTATCTGTATTCCGGAATCATTTTTCGACGTTTTTGCAGAAGTATCAGCGATATCCCGTTGCGTGAAAGACAAATGTACCTCAGCACCTAGCTTATTTCGGGCTTTAAAAAGCATGTATTCGCGAATGCTTTTTGGAGTATCGCTGCCCAGCCCTGAGAGAGCTGCAGCATTCATGGCTGAAAATAGGTAACCATAACTGCCATGAGCAGCTTTTTTTTTTAATGTTTCTCCCCGTGGTATCCACACAGCCCAAATGATCACGCAGAAGCGTAAATAATAGATGGCAAGCTTTTAAGGAAAAAAAAAAAAAAAAAGAAAGGAAGAGGTTGTATGCCGCCTTATAGCGTTCGTTGCTGTAAGATTGGTAGACACCACGGAGCATATAAACCCTCCTTAGACTCTCGTGGCACCTTGTTGCCACATGATTTCTAATGATTGTCGCGAGATGCCCCCCTTTCTCCTTTGTCATTGCTGTCATAAAATGCCATCGAACCTGGAAACTACCCCCATTAGAGCAGACATTTGGTCTGCCGCTAGTGTAGGGTCTGCTTATTTATTTGCTTGAATTGCTAACCCCCTAACGATCAGCGTAACGAGCTCTAGCTTTGTTTACAGCGTAGACAAAGGATGATACAGAATCACATGAGCTGTTGGAAAACAAAGTGCGTCGTTAACTAAAACTCACGTTTAATTACTAATATGTCCAATAAAATAGTTTTTGCCTATTTTAACGACTAAATTCAACATAAATTCACCGCAAAAACGAAATATCGAGCGAATCGGATGAAAAAAATGTGGATCCGTTTCCGGGGAGGAAGCGCGGTTCCCGGAACAGCGAACCGAGCCTATAAAAGGGCTCGTCCCCCGTCCGCGGCCATGTTTTGGTCGGTGTTTTGCTTCAACAGTGATTGAACGAGCATCGCCAAACGGTTCGCCTTCCTCCGTCGCTAACCTCTCTATTATTGCAGCAGAAAACAGCCCTTGAGCTCGTGCCGAGAACCATTCAGCGAAGATGGCCGCCACTCAGCCCCGCCAGAACTACCACGTCGACTGCGAAGCTCGCATCAACAAGCAGATCAACATGGAATTCTACGCCAGCTATGTCTACGCCTCCATGGTAAGAAAGAAAAAAAAAGGAAAAAAAAAAATACCGTGGCTTGATTAGCTCGGCGTCGAAAAACGAACTATCCTGGCTTCAGTGCACGGCACGTAAATGCTTGAGCCGTACATGTATGCGGCTTTCTCGGTAAATGCGCCATTGCGCACTTAGGTGTCTCCTCCCCTATCCGCAGTGGATTAGTCTAAAAATCTGAGATCAGTGCGCTGGGGCTAGGGATTAAAATATCCGCGTGTCTGCCGTTCTTTTCTCTACAAGCTGGTCCTAATCGAATGTTGGGCTGTCTGGGTACTATGATAGGGGATCACGTGCCTCCATCGATCCATCATGGCGCTCCCGCAGGTTTTTTTTTTAAGGCTGTTTAGCGAATAATTGCAAAAAATTATTTTAGATCGAAGTTTCGTGCGAGTCGCATGTGTTTGGTTGATCGCATCCTGTCTCGAACCTTTCCGCCGTTCCATAGCAGACGGCGGTTACCTTTTCGTGCCGTCGAAACCGCATACACAAAAATAGAAAAAAAAAAAAAAAAAAAAAAAAAAATCTGACAGGAGGGCGGATCTTCGGACTTTAGGTTACGATATCTGGCTCGTACGCGATACGGCTTCGGCAACGATCTCGGTTGCCTGTTGCCAACGGTTGCGCTAGAGAAAGCAGTGATTGGCGACGCGAGCAAAATTTCCGGCCCCTCGAGGCAAACCACTCGCCAACAGACGGACGTCCTTGCGCTTTTCACCCTTGGCGACAAACCAGTAAGATCGTCCAAACAGGCGTCCTTGTGTGTCCGACGTCTTCGGCGCCAGCGTTCTGGCCTAGCGAGCTAGCAACGCTTGTCTGCAGGTGGATAGTAACATGTGGCACGGCTGCTATCACTGTGACGTCTTTATTCGACGTGGCAGCTTTTGATTAAAAGAAATTTAAATTTGGTTAGAAAAACATACCTGAGATTCAGTCTTCTGTAACCTAGATTCAGGAATCTTTTTTTTTTTTTTTTGCCCTTTGCAGTCTTTGGAAGTGCAGCTCCCTCTGGTTTTATGAAACCTACTTGCTCACACATTCTTTGAGCACTACCCTCTTCCTGGGATTTTTGGAGAGGGTTACCGATTGTCACTTTTTTAACCCCCTTGTATGACCTCAAAGTAACAACGGTGTATGGTGCCATCGGACTGTGACAAGTGCAGAAGTTGACACTGTATAATGAGCAGTGCAAGGCAGTTGAGTTGGTGCTTTGTCACTCTGGGGTGCTTTTAATTTTTGCGGGCTTAGAGCACGAGGAGCACAGTTCGGCGCTGCAGTTTTCTGCTGGCGTGCAAAGGAAGATGCGGGTGCGATGTTGAAGTTTGGGTAGAACTCGTAAAAGCTTCCTGGTACTTCCAAGAGATATGCTCATTCTTTACGTGTTAGAAACCTCTCGTTTTTCTGCGAAGAGGTATAGGACGCGAGCTTGTATTTGGTGGCATTCAGAGGGAAACATACCATCGAGGTCTTCGGCGTAGTTATAGCAAAGAAAATCTGTGAAGCTCTATGGCGAGTTCAGTTTTGTCATTTCTGCAACTTTTAAGATTTTTGCAGAACTCGATAAGCTGAGATTGGCAGTTTGAGTTCATCTGAAGGCTGAACTGGCCCAAAATACTGTTAAAGGGGCACTGACACCCCAAAGGTCGTATTTTATTTTTTTATTGTCTAAAATGATGCACATTGTAGTCATAAACACACACACACAAAAAAAGAAAAAACTTCTAAAAAAAAATTTCCTTCCACACGCGCGCGCTTTTTTATTTTTGGCGTTTTTCTCCCGCTGCTCACTTCCTCGCTTCTTTTGATCGGTGACGTCAAAAATCATGAAAGATAGAAGCTTTGTAGGCGACATTTTTAGAACATTTAATAACGGCAATTGTAAAGTGTTTTTTAACTCAATTACGAACGCACTGCAGCCCTTCTTTTTAAAATACTAAAATTCAGAGTCCGGTGTAATGTCGCTTCCTGTATTTGTATCCTCCCTCGGAAAACTTGGCGGCGCTCGAACAGGGGATGATCGGTGAGTTGGGGGAAGAAACTGGTTTTTTTCCCGGGCGCTTCGGGTCGCGGTGACAACGGCGCTTTGCTTTGTAGCGTGGAGCGGAGGTTCGAGAGAAGGTCGACACGCTGGAGACTGCAAAACTTGTCGTCGGTGCACTGGCGTGGATTGCACGGGAATTTTAAATTCGGCATTTGGAAATTTTTTTTTTTTTTTTTACTTCACAAATGCTGAATTCCCAAGTTTCGAATTTTGAGGGTAATGTGCCGGCATCGTTTTCAATCGTTTCTGATATTAAAAAAAAAAAAATGATTTCGATGTGTCAGTGCCCCTTTACATACCGACAGCGCGTGGCCATGTCACGGTAAGCGCCCACCCGTTACTTTTGAAACATTGCAGAAATCATCCAATGACATGTTAAGTGCCCACTCCTCTTTTCTAAGCAAGTTAGAAAATGTGCGAAAGACACATAAGCGCCCTGTTGTTGTAGGCGGCCATTATATCTGCGATTGGCAGACTGCACTGGCACAGCACGGGTGAAGCGGCTTTAATGTCAGACTAGATGGTGTATAATTTATCACTTTAATTTTTCTCAATAAGCTATTCACGGTATTTACTTGCACAAATGCACTTTCCAAGCCAGTTAAGCTGACAGGCGGCCGAGCCAAGCCAAACCAACCATGGCAGCACACGCGAGCGAGTTATGGCTACAAGTGGGAATTGGCTGAAGCAATCGGCAGCTTCACCGCGTGGCACGCACGACCAGCATATTCGTCCATTGGATATCCTGATATCGGCGAATGTGCAGTGGCCTGTGGTTAGGCCGAAGGATGGTCGCGTCACCTTTTGTTCCGAGCCGTGCCGATGTGAAAACTGCATCCAGCGTCGTATGGCGCTTTTTCGGTGGCAAAAAGAACGCCAAAGTTCTGTTTTCATGCTGTGGTGCATTGTGGCTATAGTCAGATGCAACATGAGACAGTGCAAGGGAAAAAAAGCCATGCACGAGAAAAGCTGTTTTGATAAGGAGGTCGCTCCTCTCCACTTCAGATTCCCTAGTTTCTTCCTTTTCCCCAGGAAAGGAAGGAAGAAAGTGTCTGCAAGGTGTAGGGCATTATACTTCCAGCCGTATCTGAATACACATACCGGATGTACATGGCCCTACAGTTAGTTACCTGCACCGGTGAAGGTAAATCGTTCGAAGCTAGTGTCTTTTTTATGTTGTATCTGACTATAGTATGGCAAATGATGGTCGTTCAGTAATTGGACGAAGCAAGGGCTTGTCTCGACGCAAGAAAACTTGTGGCAGAGGTTAACTCGTCGCACACGTACTTTGGATGGCAATCGTGATGCCTTGTTGGTGTGGCACGCAGGTTGCGCATAAGTTCTCTAAGGTGGGTGGCATAGCGGAGATGTAGACATAACAAACATTTCTCCTGAGAGGCGAAGTGACTGTTGTAGATCAGGTCTTTTCTGACCGACACAACTTGGTGACCCGGAGGTGACATCAGCGACCATTTTGTGTCGGTCAGGTAGGACGTGCGTCAATGCAAAGCAACAAACTCATCTTTTTAACTGTTAAAGCTCAAAGTTCATAAAGGTGCAGCTCCGCTGAGACCACCCTGCTGCACCGTTGATTGCTGCTAGGCTCGTGCTGTTCTGTGTCTGAGCTCTGAGCTCGGTCCTGTCGGTGCAGCTTGTGCTGCGCGCTCAAAATGTCATTAGCCTCTGACGTTGTGGGAGCCACTGCTCTTAGTCTACATGCATGCGCTACATATTAACATTTTTTTAGTAAGCGCTGCTGCAGGTTGTTGTTGCTAAGTGGCATGAATAGGTGGGTCGGATAGGTAAACACGTGCCCCAGTGATGCACAAGCGGCTGGGTGACCGTCCCTCACTGCACCGTGGAAGTGGCACATTGTTATCTTGAACAAGAAAGCACACACTGGAGGTCACTACCGTGCGCCAATTTTACGGATTACTATAGGGCAGTATTTCCTTTTAAATTTCAGCAGGGTGTCGAACCGGAACCGAACCGAACCGAAAACCGGAACAGAACCGTTATTTTTAGCCGAACCGGAACTGAACCGAACCGAAATCTTCGCCGCCATCTTGGAACTGAACCGGAACTGAACCGGAAAAAAAGATAACGGTAACCGGTTCAAAACAGTTCACGGTATTTTTTTTTGTTAGTATTACAAATTTATTATTTGGGAATAAAAAATTGGCACGTGTATTCCTCTACGTATTGATCAAATCGTCATATACAAAATTGCAATGTATAATAAATCCTGGTTTTTTGCGGCGCTTTCTTATTGGCACTATGAATAGCCATGTGTCACATCGTCACGTGACGTCATGATGTTAAGACATGCTGTCAAGTAATGTCACATCACGTGACCCCGTGACGTCACGTGACTCACCGCGTTAAGTCGATTCAAATTGAGAACGTCGCTAGATCTATTAACGTTGTTGATACCGTGACGTCACATGACATCCCAACTTCGCACTGAGAGTCACGTGACACCATGATGTACTCGATTGTCATGATCCCGAGTCGAATGCCCTGGTTCATGACAACCAGTATCGCCAAACATTCGGGTAACGGCTCGTGTTCAACTAAAAAATTATGATGGGCCCGAGTCCCACAAGAGCTAGAAACAGAAACAAACGAAAGCGACAAGCCTCAGACACATGCAGCATGTTCGCGATGGTACCTTTATACGGCTTTGAGCTGTTCGGTGCTCGCGAAGTTTGCACGAGTGTTTACAAGCCTGCAAATGGTACCATCGTGCGAAGGATACTCGTGTTTTGGCATAGCCTTCTTTATTCTACAAAAAATGTCAAATCGCGAAATTCTCTGGTTTAAGGCTAGCCGCTGTCGTTTGTTTCTGTTTGTCGCTTTAGTGGGGCTCGGGCCCCATTATAGCCGAACTAAAACTATACCTAAAGATTAGCCCATGCTCTCTGCGTTGCCAACCTTGCGTATG